AAATTAGTAGTGATCGGCAGTAATTTTCGGAGACACTTTTTCATTTTGTTTAGAATGTTTATAACAGGCGTTTATAACAGACGATTCCCATCCCTTGAGCGCACCTTTTGCGCTGTGACTGCTGGTACTGTATGTTGTTTTCTCCGCCATTCGAATTCCTCTCAGAGTTGACGTTGAAGAATCGTACTACCAACTTATCAATATGTTTGTGAGTGATCTCTATTCTTTAAGCAGCCGGAAAAGACAAATCGCACTTGTTCGTAGGTGGGGAGCTAGGAGCCGCTACAGTGTTGCGACTGCTAGAACACATGCAGTTTTCGGCATGGAAAAGCAGAATACGAACGAACTGAGTGCCTTTCAAAAGTCATGAGGTCCTGTCTACTAAGTTAGTAAGTTTATGCATAGGAAGGGAATGCCTGTCATCGGTGCACCAAGTGACCACGGCGCGTCAAATAATATACAAATGCCACTTTGTCGGGTTTTGATTAATTTGAAAAACAGATTGAAAAGCTGAATTCTGCTAAAGTCACTGCTTTGTCCACGAGACATCTTTTCGTACATGCATCTTCGGTCTCAATAGGTGGATTCTCTTATTTGCGCTGTTTAGCGCGACCATCCGTGTTCGCAAATTCGATCACATCGATACATGAGTTTTAGAAGAACAGAATGTCAAATTAACCATTGCATAAAATCAACGCAAAAACAGAGAAACATTCAACTGTGCTCCATTAACATCAATAGTCTCTAGCAAAAATGTAAGAGGAAAACGGAAGAGGGAGCACGTGGTTGCCTTTCTCTAACATGAACATGAACATGATCTGCTGGGACGTGATCAGCGAAAATCCTCAGAGATACGTCATTTTACAGATGTCGTCGTAGATTCTAAGTTCAATATTAAGTTGAAGTTAGGGGGTAGTCGGTGGATGTGAGCTCTAGCTTGCAACATAGATGAAGGTGGAGTGATAGTCCAGTTGCAAATGGCATTCTCCAATTCATCGTCCTTGCAATATCTGGTGTGGGGGTGTCCTCCTGGAAATTCACAGCGACTTGCTGTTCTAAGTCTTTGCGATAGGTGTTCAACCTCCTTCGTGAGCAACATCGATGTTTAGGGCATTGTAGTGTCTTCTCTCAGCATCTCCTATCTTTTTGCAGCGGATGTCGGATATGGGACCCACCTAACATTGTCAGTGAAGGTGTGTCAGATTGACAAGCCATTCATACGGACGCCTTCTTATGAGCAGTGTAAGTTGCCTGTCCGGTCCATCTTACGTTGAGTTAATGCTTATGGTCACAATCGGCCAAACCTTTCCGGACCTGAGTGACCTAAACACACTGACTGTAATGGGTAATCAAACGTCAACCTGGCCAACAGCTCACAGATGGATTTGAACGAGCCCATCTCCACCGCCTCCGTGTAATGTACAAATCCAGTCTCCTCCGACGCTCTGTTCCGTCATCATGTTCTTCCGAGGTACAAAGCCTTTCCTGAGCACTCCAGCCTTCCTCCAGTGGTTTCCTTCAAATTTCTAAGTTTCATTTTGCGATAAATTCCTTGAAAGGGGTAGCCGCAAAATCCATAAATCCGTAAATCAGCTCGATGATTTTTTCTTTTCTTAATCATGAGAAACGGAGCCGATAGTTTCATTTACTGCAATGTTACCGCTTATTGACGGACCTTTGTCAGTTCCTCCCATAACCCTCTTACCTTCAAGCTAGCCTGG